GTATTAACAGCAAACACAAACAAAGCTCGTTGTTGTAAAGGTGTTTGTAGTGCTTTCTTTAACCATTCAATTTATTAAGCATAAAAAATTATTAGGTACAGGGTACAGTAAGTAGAATTAGAGTAGATGTTATTATTTATATTGATACTATTCTATATTCAGCACATTTGGATAAATTGTAAAAATATAAATCGTATGATAAATATATAGATTCCTGAGGCCGTTGGCGATACAAAACTTTGACTACTTGATGGTTCATTTGAACTCGTTTTAGTAATAGTAACAGTAATAGTAATAGTCTTAAGCCGAAGTTGAACATGCATTGCACAAAATAACAGCCATTTATACTCGTTTTAGTAATAGTAATTGTAATAGTCTTTAGGTTTGTTCGGGTTTCTTTAAAACTCGATGTAAACCGTCCGAGAACCAGTGGAACAGTTGATAGTTCTCAATGTATTTTTGAAGAACCCGAACAGACCTTTTGTAATAGTAATAAGAACTTTTACGACAAAGCTTACGAACGTCGTTAATTTGAGCATGCGCGAAAATCTTATGCTTGAGTCAATAAAAAATTATGGTACAAACTTTTGAAATAAACAATAAGTAGAAGAGATCTAAGGGCACGGGAACACTACTTCCAAAGTCGCCGCTAGATGGCGCCACCTGTCAGCTAAGCGATGGTTCAATGGGGGCCGCGTTGACTGGGAGGCCTAGGGGGTCGTTGGGGAGGCCTACGGATTGACGAGGAGGCCTATGCAGACTTGAAAAAAAACGAAGAAGAATTATATGAATTGCTAATATTTTTACAGCTTACTAATTATATATACCTATAGTTTCATATTAATTAATTCTCTCGCGCAGCCCATTTAGTCTCCCATTCTTCTTCGTTTTCAAGTCTGTATAGGCCTCCTCGTCAACCCGTAGGCCTCCCCGACGACACCCTAGGCTTCCCAGCCAACGCGGCCTTCCATTGAACGATCGCTTAGCCGAGTCGCAAACCACTTAGTTGAGTTTCAATTGTCCACCACTGACTGGTGGCGCCATCTAGCGGCGACTTTGGAAGTATTGTTCCCGTGCCCTTAGATCTCTTCTACTACAATAAACTACTAATAATGAAATAAACTAATAACTGTTCTTTGTATCTGTAACGTGTGGAAGGTGAGTTACCCCTACGGCATTTAGGCCTCACTAGGCTCATTGTGCATCCTCCTAAAAACTGTTATTTAATTAACTAACTATTTAAAACTTTATTTCCACAAAACTTAAAAAATGCTGATATTTGACAAAAAAAAAAATCAAACCTAATGTATCGGTCTATTTGAAACACATGTTAATGTCCCCTTTTCTTTTTGATTTATAGTCCAGGATCCGTAAGTAAGGTCGACCTTTACCCATCTGTTTAATGGACAAAAGTTTTTTTTATTAAATAAAATATGTTTTTAAATATACCGCAAATGGAACTGAACAAATGGAGTTCAGTCTCTCTCTCTGTCTGTCTGTTTGTATGTCTGTCTGTCTTTCTGTCTGTGTGTCACTCTTCCCAAAATATACAGGGTGTTAAAAAAAAAGTGTCACAAAATGAAATGGTGAATAGTATGACCCAAAATAAGCAGAAAAGTCTTAATAAATATATGACCGCAAATTAACGGTTTCGGAGATACGGACCATTTTGTGTTTATAACAATTTTTTATTATTATAAAAAAACAATGATATTTATAAACAATCAATAACAACATAAAGTTAAATGAGATGTTCAAATACTGACGTAGCGCTTCCCTCGCATTGCCATTTGCACGACCGTACATAAAATGCATGTCAGCTAATTCAATACTAGTGTAAACAGGCATAACGAAAATTTATAAAATTATTCACCCACAACAAAATAATAACTGCAAATAGTATCTATGAAAAAACATCGGTAGACTCCGATAAGAAAAGCAAGTTTTTGAGAATGAAAAATGATACAAAACACAAAACACTCCGTATCTCTGAAACCATTCATTTGCGGACATATGTTTATTAAGACTTTTCTGCATATTTTGGCCCATACTACCCCCCGTTTTATTTTGTGACACTTTTTTTAACACCCTGTATATATTTGACAATTTTATTAATTTTCAAAATGCCACTACCAAAGAATACCTACCCAAGTTTTCTCAGTATTTTAGAGATGGTTTAACTTCAAATATAGCTGTCAATTTATGTAGAGCAACGTTTGGTATATTTTGTGAAAATTGCAGTATAGTTAAATAGTTGTATTTAACTAAGTAATAATTAGAAATTTTATAGTTTTAAAATATGTATTACATGAAAAAAATTACATTGCGTTATTCCTAAATGTTATTGAACGTTCTTGCATCTGGCTGTCAATGTCAATAAAGATAATTTACGCGTACGTATTATGCATCGTTTAATTTCTTAGTCTTTTATTTAAATATGTTATTTTTTGTTTTTCAAACCATTCGAATTAAAACAGCAAACAAACAATAATACAAAACAATAATTAAAATATACAAACTCATTTCGAGGAACCAAGTCGCTGATATCAAGATGCAATAGAAATGCCTACAGTACTTCTGGATATGTAACGTGTATAGGGTGGATTACTCCACGGCACTTAGGCCTCACTAGGCCCATTGTGTATCCTCCTAAAATGAGCCAGCCTACAGATTTAATGTAGATGACAACGTCGCCAAGAGGTGTTTAGGAGCTCTGTAGGTTTTTTTCCATTTTCATCCTTTTCCTAGTGAAAAGGATTATTTCTGTCTTCTTGAGATTGATAGACAGTAAATGGTCCTTGCACCACTGTTACATAATTGTTCTCAAAATTCCTTATTTGCAGAATGACCAGGTCATCTGCTTTTGCTATTGTGTAGTGACTGTCATTGTTATACCTACAGTACTTATTTCGTTATTAAAATAATATATTTGACATAATGAACATAATAAGAATTTTATGTTTGTTATTGTTATGTATGTGTTTTAATTCTTATGAACCAAACGATAAAAACTGATTAATTTTTATACGTTTCCCAGTGTATTAAGTTCCCTTGCTTTGGTACATATGAAAACTCATTCAGTTTCGCTTCTTGGGTAGGTATTCTTTGCCAATACCATCACGGTCCCAACCCAAAGGCAATTCCAAATAACTTATCGACGCCAAGATACAGGATGGTAAATGTATGACTGTTCTCTATCTGTATCTCTGCCCCTACCTAATAGTACTTATATCAACATTAAAATAAAAAGTTACGTACATATTAATGGTAAGTGCTAACTAATTGTTTGTTTGTTACTTACTGGCTTACTATATAATTCCTTTTTTTCTAACTAGAATTATTTAAAATAGGTAAAGTACTCATACTCGTTGCTCGATTTTTTCACGAGTACTCCCTAAAATTTGCAGACGTACTCATTTGCTTTGAGTATTATTCTTATAAGTACTCATACTCAAATACTTATGAGTACTTTGTAAAGCTACTCATTGTGAAGTACTCTGCCCAGCTCTGAGTACATGAAAAAACATGAATTACTTAAGAGTGGTAGAGATATATATGAAATTATTAATTCTGCATTCCTTATTTCTGGCTCCTTCTAACAGCTCACCCTGTAGAGCTGCAAACTTGGGGTTCATAAGTTATCTTTAATGACCTGAAAAATAACATACTTAAAGAATAAATTCCAAAATCAATATAAAAAGTGCGGGCCCTTTAGTTGACCACATGTACTCTAGTAAGTTACCATTTAAACGTACTTTAAACTAAAATTTTGGTTAAGATTTTTGGGTAAATAATACATTATTTGTGATGTTTTTTTTTTAATTCTTAGACAAAGCATGCGTGGTACAATATTGAAGAAATTCGATATTTGCATTATTTAAGAATTTGCCGAATTTTTAGATTCGAGTACAAAGAAAAGGGGACATTCCCTTTTCCTAGACGGACTATGCATTGTACATCTCCCAAACTGGTTTGGAACTGTATAAATAGTATAAATACCCTCAAGAGCATCACTAACCGTAACAAATATACTCTGATCTGGATTTCGTGACACAGCGGGGTGGAAGGCAATAAAAAAGCTTGAGGAGTCGTAGGATTGAGTTAGTTATCACACTGTTTTAATCCTTTTTAAAGATTATACTTACTTTTTTTTATTTGAAGCAATAAAAATATATAATAATAATAAATTAATCTTGTCACTTGTTTTTTATAAATCCATATACTTTTATTAAAACCAAAATATATATTTTTTAATTACGAATTCTAATACAAATTATACTGTTAATATACGCAAATAACGCCCATTAGTTCATACATTATGGCGTTGCTGTCACGCATGGAGCGAATATATGAAAAGTCCAGCGTGATGTACTTCATTTATTATTGTCCACATCGGTAATATTGATTTATGGCCTAATTTGATGGGTAAAAATAAATATTCCACGGAAAATCTGACAGAATTACGTGCCGACTACACCTCCTAAAAATGCCTCTATCTGACAGAAGTAATGTTTAACAATTGTCCAAAAACGGGTAGAAAATATTAGTGTTCTTTGAGTTTGTTAAAATCGTTTGTAAAGTAGAAGCAGAAATATTGTAAGGTCAGAAATCAGTATTAGCCGACGACCTTCATTATTACCTATTATTCGAGATGTAGATAAGCAATAAAATTGTGTGTCCCTTAAAAGATTTGCAGGTCAGGATTAAAATATCTTATGAAATAGTATTTTATAAAGTATTTTAATAGAGTATATTGTAAAGTCTTTGTTTTGAGATGAGTCGTATAATTCCAGATATATTAGAGAAAGTTAAAAAAATAATGGAGAATTATGAGTATCTAGGTAGCTGTTTTGAGAATTGACCGCTTTATCGATTTTAGAAACGCTACGTCTCCTCGTAGAGGCGACCGCCTGCTGATAACTGGTTGGTGTTTCATCTTACAAAATTTCTAGTTCTACTTTACATAATGGATGGTATTTAATGTTCCATTTATTTTTTAGAATGATTGCGTTAAAAGTGCGATGTTGCGGTTTGGCGAATACAGCCCAAACAACCCGCAAGTAAGAGTCACTGCCGCGCCGTATTTGGGTCTAGGAGAATATGAACAAAGGAGGAATTATTTCTTGCAGAAACAGAGGGCTGATTATTTGACGCATCTGGCGAAGGTACGTAATTTCGAAAGTTTTATTGCCATCCCAATTTGTCCAAAGTTATCGATATCCATTGAATTAAGACCAAAATTATGGCTGTTTAAAGTTGCCAGCAAATTGTTAAGCTCGAGTTTATGGTGTAGTTGGGAAGTTTAAGGCATATAGATTTTTAATAAATTTAAGTTACATTATTTATCGTATTTAACCCTTTCTCTAACACATATTTCTCAGTATATTTTTGACACCCCCCCATCAAAGAGTATATCACGAGGATGAACTAAATTCACACATTTTCCACACACATCTTACATGAAACATTTTTTATATACAGGGTGTCCCAAAAATAGTGGGCCAATCCGTTATCCATATATTCGTTAGGTCAGTTTAAGAAATCTTTATTATTTTTTTTATTGGGCCATCATGTAACATATACAGGGTGACAAAGTTAATTTTAAAAATTACGTTTTTCATTGTATTTTCGTCATTTTATTAAGTAGATAGCTTAAAATTTACACTAGGGTTTTTTGAGATGACAAATCATAATTAGAGCCTAAATATCACATATCTCATAGAGGACGCTAGTTGCAAATTAACTTTGTCACCCTGTATATTGAACATTTTATCACTTTAATTATAATCCAAATGATCCCAATCTCATTTCACTTGACAATCTACTAGCTCTGTGAGCTGGCCCCCAGAAATTCGAAAATTTGACCACCTATTGACCATGTTTGACCACCCACTAACTTTTTTTGATCACCCTCAGAAACCTAAATATTTAAAAAAATATTAATGAGAGTGTCCGCTGGCCCCCCGAATGAAATATTTTTTAAAACTGACTGCACTATAAGATTAACCAATTTTTGACCATGTTTGACCACCCCTTAGATTTTTTAACACCTCTTAAAATAATTTAAAGGGGATAAATTATAGAAAAACAAGAATTCTGGGATTAATTTCAACTTTTAAAGATAGATCAATGGTCAGAAAGGCACAATACGATCCAAAAACGTTTAAAATTATGTATCGCTGTTTGATCACCCTCTAAAATATCTTAAAATGTCTCAGAGGGGTTAAAAATTCAAAGAAAACATTTTCCAATCCAATTTTTAGTTCACAAAAATGGTTATTCGACATAATAAATATTCATAAATGTTTAAAATTATGTTTTGACGTTTGACCACCCCCTAAAATAATTTTAGTGTTTCTAGGTAGTGTGAAAATTCGAAAAATATAATTACAAGGGGCATTTTGACTTGGAATAAATGGTCAAACGATATAAGTACAAAATAAAAATTCATACTAGTTTAGAATTCAGTTTTGACCTTTGACCACCCCCTAAAATAATTTTAATGTGCCCAAGTAGTGTGAAAATTCGAAAAATAAAATTTGGAAATCGAATTTCCACTTGAAAAAATGGTCAAACGACATAAGTTTACAATAAATATCCATAACGATTGAGAATTGTATTTTGACGTTTGACCACCCCCTAAAACAATTTTAATGTTCCCAAGTAGTGTGAAAATTCGAAAAATAAAATTTGGAAACGGAATTTTGACCTGTAAAAAATAGTCAAATGACATGAGTGCACAATAAAAATTCATAACGATTTAAAATTAGGTTTTGATGTTTAACCACCCCCTAAAATAATTTTAATGTGCCCAAGTAGTGTGAAAATTCGAAAAATAAAATTTGGAAATCGAATTTCGGTTTGGAAAAAATGGACAAACGACATAAATGCATAATAAGGTTCCATAATGGTTTAAAATTTTGTTTTTATGTTTGACCACCCTCAAAAATAGTTTTAGTGTTTCTAAGTAGTGTGAAAATTTGGAAATCGAATTTCGGCTTAGAAAGAAAGTTCAAATGACAAGTTTACAATAAAAACCCATAACGATTAAGAATTATGATTTGACGTTTGACCACCCCCTAAAATAATTTTGATGTGCCCAAGTAGTGTGAAAATTCGAAAAATAAAACGTAGAAATCGAATTTCCACTTGGAAAAAATGGCCAAATGACAAAAATGCACAATAAGGCCCCATAATTATTTAAAATTATGTCAAAACCTATTTCTAAATCGTTATGGATCTTTATTGTAAACTTATGTCCTTTGACCATTTTTTCGAAGTGAAAATTCGATTTCCAAATTTTATTTTTTGAATTTTCACATTACTTGGGAACATTAAAATTATTTTAGAGGGTGGTCAAACGTCAAAACATAATTTTAAACTTCTATGGATATTTATTATGTCCTTATGTCGATTGACCATTTTTTTTTTAACTAAAAATTGGATTGGGAAATGTTTTCTTTGAATTTTTAAGCCCTCTGGGGTCTTTTCAGATATTTTAGGGAGTGATCAAACGGCTATTCATAATTTTAAACGTTTTTGGATCCCATTGTGCCTTTCTGACCATTGATCTATCTTTAAAAGTTGAAATTCATTCCAGAACTCTTGATTTTCTATAATTTTAATTTTAATAAAAAAATCTAAAGGGTGGTCAAACATGGTCAAAAATTGGTTAATCTTAGGGAGAGTATTATTATTATATTATAGTCAGTTTTAAAAAATATTAACTTCGGGGGGCCAGTGGGCACTCGGCCATTAATATTTTTTTAAATATTTAGGTTTCTGAGGGTGGTCAAAAAAAGTTAGGGGCTGGTCAAACATATGCCACTTCTAAAACTAAAATTATCGAATTTCGGGGTGCCAGCTTCACAGTGCTCGGTCTACTATATGTTCAACAGAAGGACTGCGTCCAAATCAAACGCAAATTGATTTCAACGTAATCAGTCGACGTACACTGTGCTGACTCTTAACAATAACAAAACATTTCCATAGTATTAACATTGTTAGATTTCAGCAGACATGCGCGACGCTTCTCAGATTGTGAGTTTTGCGATGCGCATTGTTCTAACAAATCGTAGATTAAAACTGACGTAAGTCGAACGCGATAAATTCTGCCTTAACTGTTCGTCGCGCACTATTTTTACAAACCATTTACATATTACATAGTACCTATTAACATCGTTACATTTCACCAGACGTGCTCGGCGCTCAACTGACTGTGAGTTGTGCGTCGCGCACTGTTAATAATAATAATAATAATCGTCTTTATTTCCATTAATTTAAAGTAAATACAATAAAATAATACATATATACACGGGCGAAGTTTATTTTTGGTTGTGCACTAGACACAACAAAAAATATTCTTTCTAACAAATCGTAGCTTAATGGTTAACTGTCATCATTTTGAACACTAGAAAATGTATCTATATTGCCCTTTATTATTCAACCTATTTTATTTTGGGATTTCGATGTCATTTTTGCAGACAGAATTTTCGGTTATTCAACGGCTTTTATTTTGGCTAATATAGCAACAACAAACATCTTGTAATATTTTTTTAATAAAATTCTAGAGTAAAATACAGTATTACCAAACCATTCTAAAAATGAAATAAAATATTTAAAAAATATACATTTTTATTCGCAGGTCAGATACCCCATATATCAAAAAATATTGTTAAAAAACCTATTTTTGAAATCTATATAACTTTTATTTAAAGCGTGTTTACGTGTCTATTACACAAATTGAAATATTGAACAATTACGCACTAATGGGACACGCTGTGTATTTATTTTTCGTTAATTTTGATTCGTTTTCGAAAAATTGTAACTTGATTATTTTACTTTTCGAAAATTAAGTACACAATTCGATAATTTCGGAGACTACGGATTGTAGAATTTTAATAAAAAAAAATTAAAAGTTATCAATAGGAATATTTTGGAATTATTTTCAAATTTCTAATATCGTCACTAGATGTGGTAATACTTATGACTAAACAGATAAACGAGTACATGGCAAAAATTAAGTAAAATTTCGCCAGGATTACGATTTTCATATGTTTGACATAACTTAATATGGTATTTTTTAAAACCAGTTTTTAACACTGCTGGATAAGTTTAAGGAACTTGAAAATTGTTTCCACTTTTGTTGAGAAAAAAACTCAAATGTTTGTAACTCTCCTTTGGACTAAAAGCAAGTGGCTTATTACTGTCAGTATATCCCACTACCTCAAGTTCGTTCGTTGACCGAGCGGTCTAAGGCGCGGGTTTTCCATCGCCAGACTCACCGATCGTGGGTTCTAATCCCGTCCAAGGCTGAAAAAAAAATAATTGTTTTTTTCGGCAATTTTTTTTAATAATTATTCGAACTAAGAAGTAAAAAATAAATATAGTGGGGTGCTTTGTCCATATTTCTCGTACATCGAGCGCCCGACGCTTTTTTCACAATCATACTAGTATTTTCCATTTATTATTGTTTTAAGCTTATTTGAATAAAAGCGTGTTAAAAAAAATTATTTTTAACTTTTTAGTTTGATATGCTCTAAAAGCGTGTTTTTTAGTTTTTTTTAAACTATATTTTTATTTTGTTTTGTTCTAGATGTAAAAATTTTAATTTTGTTTTGAATATTTGTGGTTTTATTTTGAATTACAAACAGCTTTCTTCAAGAAAAAAAAAATACGTAAAATAAATAAATAGTACTTCTATATTGAAATGTTTTCTTAATTATTTATTTATATCTTACTAGTCCAATTAAATAACGAAAAAAAGCCCCTTCGAGCTTACTTTAATTTGGATGAAACAAAAAGGACCTTGTGTATTTTGATGTGATCTTTCCGAAAAAAAGAAAAAAAGATGTAGCAGTTTTTCAATTTTTTTTAAATTAGGAAAAACCGGGTTTTCCGGAATTTTCCATTGTAAAAATGCTAATTATCTGGGCAAGTATCATTCCGATAGTGAAAATAAATGCACCATTCGAAAGAGGAGGCAAAAATAGTTCGGAAATTCATTGCACAGGTAGTTTTAATGGCGAATTTCTCGCCGCCAGAAGTGCTTTTACCAAAAAGTCGTTTTTTCGTTTTTTTGATCAGAACCATGGACATGAAATTTGCGATGAATTTGTGGCGAAATTATAAATGTTAGACATATGTGCCCATGAGAGAAGTTGCG